CTGACATTAATTTTCAATTCACACCTGTATGAACTGTGAATAATTTTTATTTCATCTTTTTCTTGTGTTCAAGAGCTCATTGCAAAATTACAGCTCAAAAAATATAAATTTTCACGTTATTTAGATTTTATTTGAATTTCTACACTCACATCATAGGCAGCCCACTAAACGACTGAATTTAAATTAAAACTACAATGAAATTATAAAATTTAACGAAAATAATCACAAATTAGCGAAATATATTGCAAAATGAAGCTTATTTTAAATCTCCACTCGATTGCACTATCGGCGACATGACGTATATTAAATTTAATATACGTCAGTTCGCCGATAGTGCAATCGAGTGGAGATTTAATATAAGCTTCATTTTGCAATATATTTCGCTAATTTGTGATTATTTTCGTTAAATTTTATAATTTCATTGTAGTTTTAATTTAAATTCAGTCGTTTAGTGGGCTGCCTATGCTCACATCAGCGTTTAGAATGCACGCGCGCTCTCCTATTCGTGCCTTTTTAATAATCAGAATAAATTGACTAAAATGATATTTAGCACTGAAATTGTATTTAATAATTTGATTAGGTTCAGCATGAAAAGTTCGTCGTCTAAACCATTCAAACGATCTTTTATGGTCAGGCATGATTCATCCCAGCTAGTCGAGCTGGCCCGGCGGCTCCCGTGTTGAACCTGTATCGCATACATGACTTGCCGTCAATTAGCCCTATTCACATTAGAGACGGACAAGTCGTCTAGACGAACAAATCGTCTCTCAAAAATCGTCTTCACAGACGGACAAGTAGTCGAGACGGACAAGTAGTCGTCTAAAATGTTGTCCGACACGTTTTCACATCTGGTATTTGTCCGACTAAAAGACGATTTTGAGACGATTTGTTCGACTAGACGACTTGTCCGTCTTCTAATGTGAAAACGGCTATTATGTGCGGCGTGGAACCTAATCAAAATTTAATTCAAGTTTGAATTGTCATTTTGGGTGTTTATCAAAACCTTGTTAAGAGTTTTATTAAAGATTAACAGGGCCAGTCCATCTTACCCTGCTAGCAGTGGTTTCTAGCTCAGCTGAGGAGAAACCACTGCGAGCAAATGAACGATCGTTTCATGTAGCCGCCATCCAGATTCACGGACGAATCTCCATAGCCATAGGAACAGCCCCGAACTTCCCGACGACGGGCCTTCAATCGAAACGTCGAAGTTGTATTTTTCTCTCGCAATCTCTGAAAACAGCCTGCAGCTATTAATAGGGTAAATACAACGGCAACGTGGTCATCAACAATAGCATTGATCTCAAAACAAAGGATTTTGTCGTTGCCATTTAGGTTGCCAAACTTCCTAATTACATGCTCTCCCACACAAAGAGCGGCTGCGTGGGAGACTATTAATTTATACACAGCAATACCGAAAGGACGCATAAAGAAGTGTATCTAAAAGTCGAGGGTCGAGAGTAAAAGTCGAGAGTAAAAGTCGAGAGTCGATAGCAAAAAGTCCGGTCGACCGAGTCGATAATCATAGGCTAGACTTTCCTTAGATTTAAAGTTCTCCACCGAGGTTCTGTCTAAACTAGCGGGTGACTTCTCTGCCGTATGCGATCAAATGTTATATTACGGTCGTGAAACGGAATGTCAAAAATAAAGGGAAGTGTGCCCAATGTGAATGAACATTTACAATCTTATTTTATATATAGTTTTCAGGCGCACTACTGTTGATTCAATATTCCTAAAATAACGTCGTTAACTGTGTCCAGAAAAATGTCTCCACATTTTTGCGAAATCTATTTATTTTTATATATACATGGTATACACCGCCGAATTTCCATCACATCAAAGAAGGACCGATGTATTCGCACGGGTATTCGTCTTTGCTCTCTATCTCTATGACTATGCTCTCTATCTCTATGACTATGCTCATGCAAATTAGGGAGCTTAATTCGGAAAGTCAACACACGTCCTCAAATGTTATTTTAAGTGCAAGAAGCATTGGCCAACCAGCGGTGGGATTAAAATTAGGCTCATTAACATAAAAAGTGAAGAATATTGCATTACAACGAATTTCCTAACAAAATCATATCTCATATTGTGTTACATTGGGATTAGGGGATTCCCCTTATAAGGATTCCGCCACTAATCAGTGGCGGTGGAACATTTTTTGAATGTTACCACTATTTTCCATCCAGCAAACTGACCTGACGTCATTTTTGGAAGATGGAAGAGGTGTTAAATGGCTATGTAACTAACCCAAACCTTACCCCTACTCTAACCCCTAACCCTAACCTCAACCCTAACTCTAACCGAATTAAATTAATAAAACAATCCAAAAAGAAAAGAAAGCTTCGGATTGATAGGGATACAACTACGTGAAAAATACGAGAACGTCGACGTTTCACTTCATCGTTTTATATGGATAAATAACTTAATGATTCTAAATTGGCTCCGTTCTATTATACGTACATCAGGTACATGGTTAGATAGATAGTAAAGATCTTTATTAGTCAGGAAAACTGTACTCACATAATGTGATTTTCAGACAGGTCCTGAACAAAATCATGCTTTAAAAAAAATTCGAAATATAAAATTACTTATCAGTAATTATACAATAATATTTACACAGTATTATATATAATATCTATATTTATAATATAGCATTTGTAAATTCTGAACGCTGATTGGCTAAGAGCCGTGTTGATATAACTCAATGTGAACACGGGAAATCTTCCGCCACTTGTAAACACGGAAATTTTTCTTATCCTTCGGGCTTTTGACATTGCTATATTATAAAAAAAATATAAAACATTTTTTCCGTGTTGACATATAGTTATATCAACACTCGTGGAAGTTGGGAAAACTCTAAATTGTATGAAAACACTCCGCCCTTCGGGCGTCGAGTTTCCATACAATTTCTCGTTTTCCCAATTCCACTCGTGTTGACATAACTGTATATCAACACGGAAAATGTTTTATATTTGTTAAATATTAAAATCAGAAATTTGATGATTTTAAAAAATACGACTTAAAACTATTTAGGGTTTCAGAACATTTTATCGTGTCATCTAGATCACCAATCTGAGGAAACTTCTAAAAAAATTTAAAGATTATTTTGTACCTATTTATACTATACATTTATTTTGTAGACCGGAATGGATTTATGTGTTGTTGGAACAACTTGGTCAGCGTCCTGGACATATCAGGAACCAAAGAAGATATTTAGTCGTTATTAGTTCTATTGATGGACAAGTTATGCATCGAATGATAATTAGTGGTACTGGTGTTCCCTCTCAAAATGATGGTAAAGTATTGTTTTTTTATCAAGATTTTGGGCATTCGCGCTTGCTAGAACAGAGCCGCAGGGTCGATTCCTGCCAGAGGGCCTATATAGTTGCATTTTTTTGCAACTTCTCCTGGTGGAGCCAGATTCGCATCGGAGCGACATCAAATTTTACAGTTTCAAGAGGAGTTTAACACTCAAAATTATGATAATATAACAGAATTAGTAAAAAACTTCAAGTATGAAAAGTTGTAAGAGGCTGAAAAGCATCTCAGTTGATGTCGCTCGACTCGCTCCGATGCGAATCCGGTATCGTGTAACTGGGGCCTAAAACGTTCCCATCATGCATGAAACTCCTCAGTCCATCGTGATTTTTTCAGTTGTATTTAATTTTTTAGAGAGAGGATGTTTGGAAGTATTAATGGAGTATAGTCCTAACGAACTCTGAATGGAAAATGTTTGTACGTAGTTATATATGTATATTGTATAAATCTCAAACTCATTAATAATTCATGAGTAAATTAGCCAACCATATTGCTTTATTTTGCTCACATGATTGAATACAGGACACCTGATGAAGTATATTGATTCAGTCCTTGTACTGAATCAAAATTAACTCACCTCACTTTAAGTAGTGATTTATTCGTATGAAATGTCATTCCGAAATCCTTCAATTCGGACTGGACCAGATTTCAAGCCCTCTCGTTTTAATCTAGTCCTCGGCTTTGCCTCGAACTGGATCAAATTGCGCGGACTAGAAATCTAGTCCAGTCCTCATAGTCGGATTTGAATTATTACGTATCTCATAGTTATATTTCTTTCTTTAGTTATATTTATTTCCCTGATCAAATGTGCATAATCTGTTACAAAAACAGGACACGAAAAATTTTAACAAAGTCTTTGCCTCTGATGATCATCCTCTCAAGACAAATGAACAAGAAAAAAGACATACTTTCAGTCTACGCAAGGAACGATGCCTTTATCCTAAAATTAACACTCAGCGTTTTAAACCGCATTTGTAAATAGAATAATTTCTAAATATAATTTAGTGTGGTGTATAAATGTAACATAAGATATGTATCAACCTCGTTCCCAGAAGAGCCTGGGGACGAATTTGGATATTATCTTTATCTTATGATTGATTATTACTGTAAAGACTCATTATTCTGAAATCATTAATAATTCATGAATCAAAACAAAAAATCAGCGGGGCTTTAGTATTCGAAATTTTTGTACCTTGAAGAACCTTCAAAACACTCTTGGATTCTGAAATCCCAGTAAAGTGATAAAGTCCTCTGTCCCGTATTTGAACTGTTACTTAATAATAATAATAATAATATTATTATTAAGTTCTTTGAATGTTTGCATGGCGATAAAATATACTTGTTTGTGGAAACAAATTTACGTGGTGTTTCCACAAACAAAAACAATTAATATTATTATTATTATTTATATGTATTTTTATACGTAGTTTTATCTGATTGAACACAAGGACGCCACTGTAGCAACAACGTATTTAAATTAAGTGGTGGACGCTTGATGTATTGTTGTATTGCAATTGATGTATTTTATTGAATGTTGTAATTTTATATTGAAATGTATTAACCAGTGAACTGTACGAGTAATCAATAATTTTTATCTCACCTTTCTCTTCTGTTCAAGAACTCAATGCAAAATAGCAGCTCAAAAATATAAATTTTCACGTTGTTTATTTAGATTTTGTTTAAATTTCTGCACTCACATTAGCCTGCCACGCAGGCTACACTCGCATCAGCGTTTGATTTAATGATTTAATAAGATTCGGCTACTATTTAAATACAACATATAGAGCCAGGGAATTCGCCACAGGTTTCCCCAATTACGTAGTCTCCTACGCAGCCTGTTCGCGGGTCCGAGGTTTTCTCCCCACGTGGGAAGAAAACCTCGGACCCGCGAACAGGCTGCGTAGGAGACTACCAATTACGGCGATCCCATATAAACAAGAATTAAATTACTGTACAAAACAAATTTTCAAGCAAGTTAACAAGCTAAAACTAATGAGGCTAATAACGGAAATCTATACTGTCCATGTTCAATAATATAGGACTAACAACAACTTATTACATTGTTAAGCGATCTTGCTCTTTTGCACTTTACACACACTGATTTCCAGGTGCGCGGATCGACACATTTGAACGTTTTGGATAGTGCATGTTTGTAGTAGAGTTTAAGCCCAGGTCACACTACACAACGATAACGATAACTTGTATACGCACGCTGATTGGTCAAAAATTTATCGTTATCGTCCGACTGAAAAAAAAATCGCTCAGGTGAGCGATTTTAAAATCGTTATCGTTATCGTCTAACGATAATTTTATCATTTTCATTGTTGTGTGGACACTAACACAATTTTTTTGCCAATTATCGCGTGTTTACAATTTATCGTATCGTTATCGTTGTGTAGTGTGACCGGGCCTTAAGACCTGATTTAAAAGACAGCAAACATATATCTCTAGTACGCAAGTTACTATTTAATATGTTCCACGTTTTGCAAGTTCATATAAAAAATGAGGTCTGGAATGTTACGGTTTTCGCATAAGGAATAACAAATCTAATCAGGTTTGCGTTTGATTCACTTCTTGTAATTCCTGATCCAGCCATGATCGGTAGAGCACGTTCGTCAATGTATGTATAAAGATTATTGATGATCTTGTAGATCCTATTCGTGCCTTTTTAATCAATCGGAATAAATTGACTAAAATCCTATTTTGCACTGAAATTGTATTTAATCAGTGAATTTGATTAGGTTCGGCATGAAAAGGTCGACGTTGTCTAAAACATTCAAATTATCTTTTATGGTCAGGAGAAAATTTGGTGAGCGGCTCCCGTGTTGAACCTGTATCGTATACATGACTTGCCGTATTTTGTGCAGCGTGGAACCTAATCAAAATCTAATTCAAGTTTGAATTGTCATTTTGGATGTTTATCATAACCTTGTTACCGGGCCAGTCATGCAAAGCAAAAAATTTATAGATCTTGTATCACTGGAATGTTGTTCACTAAATATCAACGAATGACCTCGCGAATGACAATATTTCACAGCAGGAAAACAGGAAATGAATTGCATAGCCTGCGTCACAGACATAAACCTGCTAAGTCCACACACACGGCACCAACACTTTAATAATCAGAGAGGTTGTTTCGGTTGGTATTAGAAGCTTGCAGGAACCGGCGGTTCGGCACCGAAGTTCATCTTTACTTTCATGCATTCAGCTTCACAATCATACAAGGCAACAACTTGGTTACATACAAGAAGTCTACATTTCTAGAAAGCTGGTGTTACGTATGATGGCAGATAATAACAGAAGAAGGCAAGTCATAGAATAACCTGTAGACTGGCTTACGCACCAGACAATTGCGCGTCGAGTGTTAGTCATTTCTAGGCTAGATTTTCCTTAGATATAAGTCCTCCACCGTTCTGTCTAAACTAGCGGGCGACTTCTATGTATACGATCAGATGTTATATTACGGTCGTGTCGGTCGTAGTGAACATCTACAATCATATTTTATATAATATATTATAATATAGCATTTGTAAATTCTGAACGCTGATTGGCTAAGAGCCGTGTTGATATAACTCCATGTCAACACGGGAAATTTTCCGCCGCTTGTAACACGGAAATTGTTCTTATTCTTCGGGCTTTTGACATTGCT